TTAAACATTTTTTGTTTCCGGTTTGTTTTGGGTTTTGGGTTTTGGGTTTTGGTTTTGGTTTTGAAACATTTAGTTTGTTCGTTTGTGTTTTTTATTGCATGGAGAGTTGTTCTGTTTGGTTTTCTCATTTAAAATTTACACCAAAAAGATCAGCTATGTTTACAACTAGGATGTACATATTATCGTAATTATCGACTATCAATTTTCAATGTTCAATTTGTAATTGTGTTTGTAACGTGTTCTTTTTGTTGTAACGCAAATCTCTTCGTTTCGCTCTGGTCAAACAGAAGCTGTCTGGTTGCTTGAAGATAACTTTGGGCAGCGAACAAAGACTTCGGCACCCATAAACATTTGTGTAACTCTTGCCTCTCGTTTTGCTCTTGCTTTTGCTCGTCTGATAACAATTCGAATTTGAATAGCTGAGCTGAGCTGCACTCTGGCCCCCGCTCTTGGACAAGTCAGAGCTGTGGGGCTCAAATGTTCGTCTATCGCTAATTTTAAACTGTTTCCTTAGCTCTATGCTACGGTATGACATGTAGTTTCTCTGTTCTTGTGTCTTAAATACAACATACAGGTTTTTTACAGCAACAACTGAAGAAATCAAGTATTTTCTCTAAAACGAGATATTTGGTTTTGCTTTTTTCTTTGTTTGTTTGTTTGTTTGTTTGTTTGTTTGTTTGTTGCATTTGGTACACACAGACACACATAATTGTTCTTCTACGCTTTCGTTTATGCTCCGTTTAAATGACTTTCTTGGCTTTGTTCAATACTTAATTTGGTTTAGTAAAATTTGATTTTAACAGCTTATAAATTAAGAAAAAAAGACACGCGCGCCCTCCAAGGAGCTTTTCTCTATACAATAACGATTACATATTTCCTTCATTCTCGCTACGGAGGCGTCTAATTCAAGTTTCTTGGTTTACACTTTTAAGGCTTAGGCCTGGAAAATACTTGCAACTTGGTTGGCAATCCTCCAATTATATCTCTCCATATTAACATATTTTGTTTTGGTTTTTTCTTTTTTGTTGAAAATTTGACACATTATTTTTGTGTTTAGCATTGAAGTTTTTGTTTGTTTGCTAATCTAACACAGAAAAATATTGAAAGCTAGATAAATATATAGATTGAAAGAGGGGGGGGGGGGGAGAGATCACTTCCATCGAAATCAGGCTGGGCTTAGACGGGGCTTCGTTTTGGGGTGGGTTCGGACTTTGAACGTGGGGGCACTGGGTACTGGGTACGTGGGTGAGTATCGTTTTGCGATAGGTTTGTCGGGTTGTCGGGTTCTATATTGTCGTGCATCAGATCAGATCGGACCCCGCTGGTAGCTTACATATGTATGTAGTAGGAAACCAATGGTTGAAGGAATTTACATTGAAGAACCATGGGATTCGGGGAATCGAATGTGGCTTGGGGGTGGAGTTTGCTAGAAGTTCGTTTTGCTTAATACTCCATTGATAACATTTATCTAAAAATAATATAGTTTGTCGCATATACTTATGTATATCCCATTATGATATTGAACTCTTTGATTTTGACAGCAATTTTCGCTATTGTTTTACAATTTGTATTCCGGTTGGTTTTTTTCATTTGGTTTAGGTTTTTAGTCCAGTGTAGTTGTGGGCTTAGTGTTGGTTTTGGTTTTAGTTTGGAAAGCTTTCGAGGTGTTTCAGCTAAGGTACAATTTTGCTACAGGTTTTTGTATCTACGTGGAATAGAGTTTCGTCGGTGTTTGCTGTCACGTTTACTCCTGGAAGACTACAGCTAAGTACACAGCTTTGTGTGTTTGTATTGTAAATATAGGGGGTTTTAAAATGCAACAATTACTTTGAGTTAGAGTTAATATAGAGAAGGATTCTTTAGTAGGTTTAACTGCGAGCTGCAAGCAAATGAAAACCATTTTCCATTTACATTTATTGCATACTATGTACAATTCGAATTCGAATTCGAATTTAATTTAAACACTTTTCCTCTTCTATTTCTAGTAGTTTTCTTCTTCGTCTCGTGCCTGCTGCTGCTCTTGTGTGTGCATTATATCTAGCTACAAAAAGTTACATTTACACACCAATTCACTTGATAAATACTTGTTCGGATTACATGTCCACACTACACATGTGCGTGGATGTAAACATGTACATTTATATGTACACGGATGTCGGCTAATGCTACTCCTTTATGCTTTTGCTTTTGCTTTTGCTTTTGTTTTAGTTTCAGCTGCTGTTTGCTGTTATGGTCCAATTTGTGATTCAAAGATTTCTAATTTTTATTTGATTTTCTTTCAGCTTCCAATACTCTCTCTCTCTCTCTCTCTCTCTCTCTCTGACGCACACACACATGTGTGTACTGGCAGGCTAGAAGACATTATTCATTCATTCATCATCGCTCAACTCTGATCCCTCTAATTTGGAATCGGAATGCATTCAACAATATACTGCGGGGTTTTTCTTTACCATTATTTTGATTTAGACAGCACAAAGTTCACATTTAATTATCTACACATACAATGGAATTCATTTTTGTTATTGTATTTTAAGTAGCAAGTCAAAATGGTTCCAATTACGTTTAAATGATGTCGAAATTCATTTATGTATCTACTCGTATCGTATATATTTCTCTTTGATAGTTGCAGTATTTTGTTTTTGGGCTTCTCCTCCGTATAAATATAGTTTATCTTTCAATCAAACTTCATCTTTCTCTTTTAATCATTAAGAGTGTGGTTTTAGGTTTAGTTTTAGTTTTAGTTTTAGTTTTCATTGTATAAAGCTTTCGTTTGGTATGCCATAGACATTTACATGTATCAATTTTCAATGGGTCATTTCTTGGGATTGGGCTGCTTGCAGGGGAGTACTTACAAGTGCATGTATTGCCATTGCCATTCTTCAACAAATTTGAACGGAACTGCTTGCGCCGGTGGCCATCAGAAACTGCTTTCGTGGCGCGCATTTACTTGCAGTAAAAGAAGAACTGCTTGCAAGCAGTGCGTGTTTGGTTGGGTTTATTGAGTGTTTGAGCTGTTGCTGTTGCTGTTGCTGTTGTTGTGTTCTGGCTGGGCCGCTGCTGCTGCTGCTGCATAAACACTTCCACACTCTAGGCCATAATTGCATATTTATGGACATTGGGCACATGGCTACTATGTGTTTTAGTTTTTCTCTTTGATAGTTTTCTGTCTGTCTATTTGTTAGAATCGCGTGGCATTTTCTCGTTTTGTCGCATATCATTTGGTTTTTATGCAAATTTCTGCATCAATGCGTGTGCTTCAGTATGGGTGTTCGTGTGTGTGTGTGTGTGTGTGTGTGTGTGTGTGTGTGTGCATGTACAGGGCCAGCAGCAATAAGCAGTAAGAGAGGAAGAGAAAGAGAAAGAAAGAAAGAAAGAGAGAGAGAGAGAGAAATAAAGCAGATATTTTAATTGCCATACACAAATTTCAATTCCCATGCGTTTGTATCCTTGTTTGCTTTGTTTCTGCTTGTCTGTGTGTGTGTGTGTGTGTGTGTGTGTGTGTGTGTGTGTGTTTCCAATGTGGCATAATGAAAAGAACAACAACCAAAAGCATGTCAAGCAAAAATAAGTTAACGCTTAGCAAACTTTGCCCATTCGCATCGTCAATGTGCTTGCCGCTCGCACAAAGTTTGCAAAGAGTTGGCACACCCATTCGCACACACATCTGTACACACAACACAATCCGTTCATAATACATGGCCAAACAATAGAGTGGACTAGCATGTATGTGAGTACAATGTCATGGCAGGCGTCGCATCCAATTAAACTTGCCCAATGCAGAAAGGAAGCAGAAAGTTGGCCACCTAAATGCAGCACATATTATTTTGTCCCAACCAATTTCACTTCAAATCTCTTTACTCTATCTTTTTTGTGTGTTCGAGTTGAGCGAAATTCTATTCAATTTGCATTTCAATGACGCCGATTTTTTCTGGCTCGACATTTTATTGTCTGAAAGTGTTCTGTTCATTCAATCTGCATACTCGCTTCATTCAATTAGCAATAATAATATTATTACCACACTTGGTACACTCTTTTTTGCATCGTGTGTGTGGGCTTCTCGATTAATTTCCATTTGACATTGAAATGTGTGTTGTGCTGTGCTGTGCTGGAATATAATTAAGGAATATCACATCACATTTATCCGCGGAATTTCTTTATTGAAGCGTTCAAATTGTTGCACTTTGACAGCACAAAAGAGCGGCAACACAATGAGCTTCAGGGTCTGTCTCTGGTTATTTCTACACACACACACACACACACACACACACACACACACACACACAGACATCTACACTCACAACTCACACACATATAAAATGCATTCTTCTTATGCTTAAAAATATTTAGACGCAGTTTCTTGAGCAATAAATTCTCTTGCCTCGAGTCTTAACACAATTTCGTCTGCTATGTTTTTATACATATTTTGTAATTTGATCTTGTTCTGGTTTTGGTTTTGGTTTTGTTTTTCCATCACAGCAAACTTCAATTTCGTAACTCTAGGACAGCTAACAACATTTATGAGTATGAGTAAAACTAAAGAAAAACCAAACAAAAGTGTTGGAACTGCACATATTTTTTTGTTTATTTTTATGTAAAATAAATGTATTGGTTTTTGGTTTCGGTTTCGGTTATGCAACTCATCAGCCTACATATGTATGTATATATGTATATATGTATACAATTCCCATAGATATATTTATATTTAAGACTATAACACATTTCACAGTTTGCAACATCGACCAATGTACATACATACCACATACATACATATGTACATAATATGTAAACGTAACTTGGCTAATCACCAGTAATGGAAACAACATTTAAATACGTATGTAAAGTACATTGAAAACATTAACGAATAAATACAAACAAAGTTAGCTTAGCTAAAACACACATACACTCAAATACACATTCGGATGCATACGAAATACACATATATGTATGTAAATATGTAAATATGTATGTAGCTATGTATTTAGGTATACATTTATATGTACATGGATCTATGTAAAAACGAACAACAACAACAACTCGACCGATTCAAAAGATGAATTGAGAAATGTCGCAGAGATGTCGGGAATCATCCAGGATACGGATACGGATACGGATACTCACTGCACACAACTGATTAGCAGGAGACACCCTGCTTGGCCACCGTGTACCAGGTGCTGACAGTCACCAGCGACGGCGAGTCCGGTGTGTGCGGCAGCTGCTGTTCCTCTCCCTCTCCCGCCTCTGGCCCACCCACAATCACGCTCAGTGGCGGCAAAGGCAGCTGGGCTACCTGTGCGCCTCCCACGGCAGCCACTCTGGCTGGGAACTGGGCTGGACTTCGAGGGGTCTGTTGTGTTCCTTCCCTCTGCTGATGTTTGGATTTTCGTTTACTCTTTTTTGGCACCTGCAGCTGCAGCTGCGGATGGTGAAAGTGCTTGGGCTGCGGTGTGTGCAGATCGCGACCCACCAGCGGGCCCACCTGCGGGCAGCGAAATCGAATCGCCTGCTCGTTGGCCACATTCAGTTCGGGCCAGCGCGGCTGTTGATGCTGATGCTGATGCTGATGCTGTCTCGTTCTTTGGTGATTTTGCTGGCGCTTGCTGCTCTTGCTGCGCTTGCGCGACTTGGACGTGGACTTGGAGCGGGATCGGCATTGGCGCACTGGACGCTGCACGACTTCCCATTGTGGACGTTGGCAGTGCCGGCAAATTGCCGAGCGACTTAAGCCATATTCATCATCGTCGTTGTCATCCTCATCCTCATCCTGATCCTCCTCCTCATCGTATTCATATTCCTCGTCGCGGTGGTGGTGCTGCTGCTGGTGGATGTTGCAGTTCATTGTGCTGGCCGTTGCCGTGGCTGATGGTGTTGTTGTGGTGCTGCTGCCACTGCCACTGCCACTGCCACCGTCCATGTCAATGATGTGGCAGCCTATGGCTGCCGCTTGATGTCTAGTGCTATGTTGTTGTTGTTGCTGTTGTTGTTGTTTTTGCGGTTGCTTGTTCTTCGTCTTGTGGTTTGACTTACGTTTCTCTGGCCCCTGCCGCTGCTGCTGCTGCTGCTGCTGCTGCTGTTGGCTGCGACTGCGACTGCGACTGCGTCGCGGCCTTCGCACCGTATACTCATCGCCCTTGTCCGTCGGATATGGTCAGAATGATGTATCAAAGACGGACATGGATCTGGAAATGGCATCATCATTGCGACAGGCCTCGAGGAACTCCTCAAGCGTCACAACACCATCACGATTGATATCCATTTTCTGTGCAAAGATTAAGAAACAGATAAAGATAGATTTAGATGACTGATTTGCATCATCAATTCGGCTCTTGCCCCAAGCCCAGGCCAAGCCCACTAATGACAATGCGTGACTGGCAAGAGAAGCGACTCGATGGCCTGGCTCTGGCTCTGGCTCTGGTTTTGGCCATCAAATTGAAACAGCAACAATTCTGGCATTTGCATAATGCAAAGTAAATAAGTTTCATGTTCGTGCACTCGTCCAGAGGCAAAGTCAAATTGTGTAATTAGCATAAATAATGGCTGGAGTTTTGGATTTGGATTTACCTGAAAGATTTGCTCCACCTTGCCCTTGATCTTCTCCTCCTCGGGACACTCGTCGGGCAGGCGGCCCATTAGCTCGTATATGGCAGTCACAATGTCAGTCATTTCCTCCCTCGTAATGAAGCCATCGCCATTGATGTCGTACAGCGAGAAGGTCCAGCGCAGTTTCTCCTCCACCGAGCCGCGCGACAGTATCGAGAGTCCTTGAACAAAGTCCTGTGACAACAACAACAACAACAAGCAAACCAACTCGCTTTAATATACACAGCTGGATGGCACAAGTAGACACGGGACAGGTATTAAATAAATTGAAAATGTGTTTTAAGAAATTGCTCGTAAGCCGCAGACCATGGACCTACGTAATGCCTACCATATCAGCCTCGTCTGCTCGTCTCCTTGGCTCATGCCACCCAATGCCCTCATCTGTTTTCTGCTGCTGCTCCTGCTGCTGACATTTATTTCTATGTTCTTGTATGACAAATGTGCGCAGATAAGAGCTTGCGGCAGAATGGGCAGAACTTTTTACGACTGAACACCGAACACCCCCCGCGCTGGAGGTGTTGAGATATTTCAGCCAACATAAGACTGAGTTTTCTGTAGTTTGCATAGCCAAAACCAGAGACAGAGTACACCGGAGACCACTGGCAAAACTGGCAGCCAGAAGCGCCAACTGGGAGCTGGGAACTGGGAGCTGGGAGCTGGGACCTGCTGCCAGAGAAGGCCATCATTTGCTTCTTGTTCTGGCCATTTGGGCAATTGCAATGTCCAACTAATTTATCAAACCGAAAACGGAATGGAGCAAAAAAAAAAAGGACCCCGTCTCGAGCTTCAGCGAAAAATGATGTAAGACAAAGTGCAAGAAACTTTCGACCACTCCGACATAGACAAATGGCTGAGAGCCTCGAAGTGGCACAACAAAGTTTCAAATTTGAAAACTCCAGCAGAGTATTAAAGATTTGCAGGCAGGAATGTGCGCTGCAAGGAAGTGCCGAAGGAAATTGCTGTTGAGTGATTAAGCGGATTTGGGGAGTTTATCTCTGACATTTCGGCACTTTGGACATCAAAGACTTTGAGATAGCTTTTGGGGTAGCTTTGAATATTGTTTAGTGGAATTATCGGAACTGTTGCCTGGGATTGCTTAGCGGAAAACCAGTCAAAGCTTTGGCCACTATTTTGCACTTCACTGGGGCCATGTCTGGGAGCCTCTTGCCATGTGAACCTTCCGACTTCCGAGTAGCCGCAAGTGATGCTTGCTGCAGTGCACGGCTTTCAGCCACAAGACACTGTTTTCCATCTGTCCTGCTTTCCTTTTGTTGTTGCTGCTTCTACTTTAAGCTTAACTTCTCTGTCTCTCCCCTCCCGCCTTCTCAATTGCTTTTATCTCACACACTTGAGCAATTTATCTTTGTGAGCAAGCGTAAACAGGTCGCACACACTTTGCCTTTCCACTTGGCATATTGGCCCAGCCCAGCCCAGCCCAGCCCACAATTTCAATATGGCCCTGACAGCTTGTTGTGTGTGTGTGTGTGTGTGTTGGCTGTTGTTCTTGTTGTTAGCTATTACCTCTGATGTTGGCAGTTTAATAAACGCGACTGTCATGCAAATCGCGCATAAAACACCTCGCAACAATACGAGTACTGTGTGAAACTTAATTGAAAAGCGGAAGTCTACTTGGTCTCAGAGCGTAACATCAACAAAACTAGGGGTGTGTGTGTGTGTGTGCTGTATATCGAGTACGTGCCTTGTAGTCATTACAATTTTGAGGTCATTATTCAACGGGGAGAAAGCCAAAGGCTCACACAGATAAGCCACCACTGTGGGGCCGCATACATACGAGTACATGGTACATTCTGGTCTCTTAGTGATGGACTGCGAACGTGATTGTGCTCATTATTCGAGGTACGTGGACTGGGCAGCGGTCCTTTGCTCTCCTTCGTGTCACGATCTGCTCGCCAGAAAGACTTGCTTCCCTGCATATCTCTGGCTTTGCGCGTTTTGTCGCCTCTTCTTCTGTTGTTTGAGTTGGGCTCGGCGCTGGAGTGTGTCTCCTGTCTTTTGTGGGTGCACAGCTACTGTTTTACCTCCTGCTGCATGACAAAGTTGGCCTTAAAATCGCCATAATTCATCGTTTCAATGGCTTTGTGTGCGCGCTTCGCACCCGCCACACATTCTCCGCCGGAAGTGGAGTTCATGTTCGGACCTCGCCGTGCCAGCCAAGACAGTGAATAAAGTGTGGAAAAATTATTTGCAATTTGCATGCGTCCCCCCGGGGACTTTTCAGCCAAAGTGGCTGAGTAAGCGGGGGTGTGGCCAGTGTCCTGCCGCCCTCACAATCTCCGGAATTTATTGCTTTTTTTGTTGTTGTTGTGCTGCTTTGTCTTTGCTGAAATAGAAATGCTGACAATGACAGCGGCGAAACTCGCTGGCAACTGTCCCCTCTGGCCACCAAGCCCCTCTGGTTTGCTCTGATTTTCATTTTGAGACATTTTCCTTGATTTTTGGCATTTGTCGCATTATATTTTGCGAGGTTTTTCACTCGCCTTGGCTGCCGCAGTGTTGCGGAACGAAGAAAATCGGCGGAAAATGCTGCGGATGCTGCCATTAAATGTGACACATATTTCGGTATCAACTGGCTTTGCTCTTGAAGTTGCTGTTTCTGTCTCTTCGTGCACACAAATGTATTTATGATTAGTAAATAATAAGGAAAGCAAAGGAAGCTGGAACTCTAATTAAAGAGCTACCCAAACTTATCAAAACACAGACACACAGGAGACGCCTCTCGGAGAGGGAGGACTGGGAGGACGAGTCTGTGGATGTCCTGAGAAGTCTGGCCATGTGTATGCCGTTGTACTTATTACAACTTTTATGATCCCCCAGGTTAATAGAGCGCTCGAACATCTATGTATTTGGGAGAGCAGTGGACTTCAGCTTGTAGCTTTTTGTTCTCTGGCGCTGTGCTGCTGTCGCTAATAAACCGTAACTAAATGCGATTACCCGGGACGAGCCAAGGCAGTTGCCATGGCTGTTGCTTTCTTTGGAGCATTTTGCAGCATCATTTGGCGCCACTCTGCCACCACCACTGTGCCACTTCACGGTGTCTCCTCTTCCCGCCTGCTCAGCCAAATCGGCTTCATTTCGAGACGACTCACACACAACTTTTGCCCTGCCGACTCTCTCCCGACTCGACTCAGCTGTCAGCCATATTTTATACTTAAAATGGCTAAAGTCATTTCATTGTACTTAAGTCCAGTTCTCCTTCTTCTTGGTGGCCTCGGGAGCACCGAGCACCGAGCACCGAGCACCGAGTGAATTAAATTGAATTGTTCATCTCAAAGTGCTCAAATTGGAAGGTAGCATTTGCATTGCCATTGAGTGGCCGGATTAATTATGGATAACTATGGCAGCATTCTGATAAACTGCACTGATGACTGCCAGCTGTCGACTCGAAGCCCATTTGGCTCCGCTCAATTATGTGGTTAGACACAAGACATCGTTGTCAGTGCATGGGGACACGACACACACATGGCCGGCCATGCCATTAGGGGGATATTTGTTTTGCTTTGGATCGACTCCATTCGATTCGACTTAATTGCAAATGGGCCTCGGTCCGAGGTCCGAGGAAGTAAGTGCCGCAATTTGTTTTGCACCCAAGTCGATTCCGAAGACAGACACTCAATTTCCTTTGCTCTGCTTTGCTCGAGCCCGGAACACATGAAAGTCCATTAGTTTGACTCTGTGCAGACCTACCGCAAGGATATTGTGTCTCGGCAGCCCACGAGCCACGGATATGAGCTGCTCAAACGTTTCCCCCATTGCACTTGCCAGTGTCTTCTGTCTGTCTACAGAGTTTGATATCGATTTGTAAGCCCATTGGTGTCCCAGAACAGTGTGCCTGAGAGTGCATATTTAGAGCTAGGACTCACCTCAAAGCTGACAATACCGCTGCGATCCTGGTCCAGTGTATTAAATACATAATGTGCGTATAAGGTTGGGTTGGCTGTTGTTAATTGTTGATTCGTTGTGGTTGTTGTGGTTCGTTTAATGAAAGCAAAAGAAATGGAGAGAGAGCGTTAAATGTGAGAGTTCCACACCAATTGGCTTTGGCTACATCATCAATTCAGTTCTACACTAGAAAACAAACACATACACATAGGCTATTGAATAGATAGTTCGAATAGTTTGGGGGCCAACATAAAGATAACACAGGTTTTGGGTCCAAACTTTTGTTATGTGGGTCGTCGTCTTCATCTTCACCTTCGTCGTCGTCTTGGCAACAACAACTTTTCGCTTTTGCTTTCAGTTTTGTCAAGCATAAAAGTTGTTCCATGTTGTTCGTTGAATCGTTCCTGTTTATCACAGGAAAAGTCAACATTTGTTGGCCAAAAGTTTCAATGGCAGCCGGCACTGGGGGGCTGTGGGAAAACAGTTCGCAGCTAATTATGCGAGTGTCTCTTGTGGTTGCTGATAAGCTCAGGCACTCGCATTGCCACTGCCCCTGCTCTCCCCTGGCTTCCTGCCCCGACTTCCATTTGAACATTTTCAATTCCCCTTACGGCTGCTGCCACAGACAAAAAGTGTTGCCTACTTATGAGGGCCCAACGAGTTCTGCTGCTGCTGCTGGGAGAGAGCGTTGTCTGACGCTGTTATCTGTCTCTCTGACTCTGACTCTGACTCTGCACCCCTTTGGAACAAAATGTCTTTATCTGGCCTGATGCCCAGATATTTCATTATTTCATTTCATTATTTTATTGCCACTTCTCTCACTCCTTCCCTTGCCGTAACTTTCCGTAACGATTCGCGTTTATGTTTATGACTGTTGCTGTTTTGATGCTGCTGTTACGGGTCAAAGACGTCAGTTCATTCAGGGACAAGCAGGGCACCAAGGGCAAGACGCAGAAGGGCCCTGTTTTTAGTGGCTTTTAAAAGGGAGTGACCATAAAACGAATGCCTGAATATCACATATCCGAATGCCACTGTGCCCCAGTTCTGCCCTTCGATAGCTTTCCGTCCCGAAAGTTGAACCGTAGCCTGAACTTGTTGTTCTCCATCGAAGTCTCTGGCCCACGCTCCCACCAGGCATCAAGGGTTGAACTTTAAAGCTGCCTTAAAGCGGCTAAACGCAATGGCACGCACTGTACGCACTGTACGCACTGTAAGCTCTGGGGGAAGGGAGCGCATACATTTATTTGTTCAAATTTATTGTAGCCGTTTGATGCTTAATGTGTTTTTATGACGCATGACGCATGACGCATGACGCAGAGTGGCACGACCAGGAGGCAGGGCACTGGTTGGAGTGGCTGCAAGGTCAAAGCTCGGTGCCGAAATATCTGCGAAAGCATCTGCTCCGAAATCATTCTTGGGGCTCGCTCGTTGCTCGTTCGCGAACAAATCAAAAATGACTGCAAATGTGCCATGTAAAAATTGTTATAAAATTTGCGCAGAAATTTGCCAAAACGAAAAAAAAACAAAGCGACACAGCGCCGTGGAGAGCCGGAGTGGGAGATGGAGATGGAGCAGGGACCAAAAGTGATAAATCACCAACTTTGATGATGCTTTTTTGGTGTTGCTGTTGCTGCTTCTGTTTCTTCTCCGTTGGGTCTGCCAGCTCGTATTAGGAGTGTGTGTGCTGCAGAAAGCAGCTTATCAAAATAAAAAATGATTTCATTATTTATTTTTCATCAGATAACGGGCAGACATGATGAAGAATAAGAATAATCAGCGTGGCGCGGGGGAGGTGACGGCCATGAAGAGGGCTTTGCCCTGTCAGAAGAGCAGCAAAGGAGCAGTGAGAAAAAGGACCTTAGTCTCGTGTTTACTTGGTATTTTGTATTTCTGTTTCCGCCTGTCGATACTCTCTAGCCCTGCTGTGGCCAAGGCAGGTTTATTATAATAATTCAGCGGCCCAAACATGTGTACAAAATATGCGACATAAGTGGGATTTATGCTGCTCCTCCGAGGTGCGAGGTCTAAGGCTTGCTTCTGCAGCTTGAGTTTGAATGTTTCCTCAGTGGCATATGAAGAACTTTGGCTTTCGCTTGGTTCTCTCTTGCAAATTCGATTGATAGCCGCTGCTAGTTGAAGAGCCAACGCTCCCCTCTCGTGTGGGGCAATGAATCAGCAATTCAGTTACTGGCCAGCAACAGAATTTCGAGTCTTTCGCCCGGCGGCCGTCTCGTCCTCAGTTGGCAGTTTGCAGTTTGCAGTTGTAAATGTAAATTGTGCTGAGGGGAAAGAAACACAGAAATGGAGAAAAAAAAAATTGCACTTGTTGTGCAAACGAGGTCAAGTGGGCGTTGGGGGAGGGGGGGTTGCCACTCCCATTTCCCCCACCTCTCCCACCTGTCTCAACACGCCTTTACCCTTTCCCCTGCTGTCCCACAGCAGACCGCGACTTGTGAAACATGATTTTGCTTTTTATGCTTTTTGCTAATTTGCTTTCTGCATTTCATATTTTTTCAAGCCAAGGGCCAGGCCGTCCAAACAAAGAGCCGCCTCTCTGCCTCTCTGCCTTCAGCATCCTTCTGCTTCCTCATCATCATCATCATGACTCTTGGTTTGATCATCTGCAGCAACTCTTTGGGGCCAGTGCCGGCTGCCCAAGGGCCATACATTTTTATCAATGGCATTTGCCTTGAGTTGACTTTTGGCCAGCTCGAAGCTCGAAGCTCGAAGCTAGAAGCGGAGCGCAGCAGTCGATGTCTGTGGTGGGACTTGCCTTTGTTTGGGAGCTCTTTTGCTAATCATAACTAAGTCAAAGGGAACACAAATTTCATTTTCATTCGAGTGCACAACGGTTCAATGATTCCCACAACCGATTAGGGCAGAGTGAAGCTTATGGAGTGGAGGCGCGCCAGGACCAGGTGTGGCCCTGCCAGGGCACATCGATTGGGTACCATGGCCAGCTATGAAAGGCACATGCATTTAGTGGGTAAATCAAGGCAGCAAACAGTAACGAAACAAAGTATACTGTACCGCACGAACCTCCCTGTGGAAAAAACTGCGAGTAGATCACTTTGAAGGTGTCCTCCTTGACGACGCCCGTGGGGCACTCAGCCTTGAAGCCGCGATAAATTCGTTTGATCTCGTCCTCGGTGAAGCGGGTGGCCCGACTCAAAGCGCTCAGCGAGTCCGGTCTGTAGCGTGCTGGCGTCTCGAACTCCTCCAGTTCCGAATCTGTAAGGTAAACAAATGCAAACAGAAGTTGGTCAGAGAGTCTAGTAACTGCAGAGTGTAATCTATGGTGGCTTGAATCCATTGCGGCCCAAGTTGCTGCTGCAAAGGTCTGAGAAATGTTCAATTTTTAAATGCAACTTCACGTTAAATCAGATGCTGATCTGATCCAGGGCGAATCCACATAACGGCCACTGCATAAATATGCTTTCGCCATTTGCCTTTTGGGCAAATGCTGCAGTCAAGTCTCCGTGCAACGACGCACGCGATTTGGATCTGTGGAGCCGCTCGATGTGTGTTGAATTGACTTGCAAGTTGCAAGTTAAGTATCTTGTAGTGCTTTGCCTGTCGAAAGTTTGCGCCTCTTGTTCGAGTCTGCTCCTCTGTGGTGTTCGTGGCTAAGGAGGCTTTGGGCTCTGGTGTGGTTGCGGGGTGGCATCCTCGAAGAGGTGAATGGCGCTCGACTTTTACTTTTTGGGCCTTTGCTGGTAGTTCTTTGTAGCTGAGGCGCCTCAATTTTAGTTAATTAAAAGTTTTAGCCCCCCCACACACACACACACACCCACACACACACACACACACACAGATTCACAAGCAGAGAACTGCAGGTGGCAATGGAGAGCCTTGCCGCTTTTTGGGTGAGCGGCGCGAGGCGCACACGCTTGACAAATGGCTGCTTAAAAATGCATGCAAATGTGCGAGAAGCGACAGAGAACACACACAAAGACAAAGAGACAGGCAGAGAGGGAACACCCACTGCACCATGGCAGAAAGCAAAGCGGGGAGCGAGAGAAAGGCCAGAGAGCGCGAGATTAAGAGAGTTTTAAGGATACAAAGAGGATGGGTGGGAAGCGGAGACTGACGGCCTGCACTTGTCGTTGCCTTTGGCGTTAGATTTCGGTTCAGTTCGGACTCACACGGGCACACACGTGGCAATGCACTGCTTATGGCTTATGCATTTTCATTTCCAGACAAAAGTGGAGTGAAGTGCAATTTGCATTTTATTTTGAATATGTAAGCCCGGAGAATGAACAAACCATAAAGCTAATTAGACTAGAACTTGAATTGAAATGAGGCAAAATACTTTCAATTGGTCTGAAAATGAATTAAAGTTTTTCCCTGCCTTCTCCCGCCACACTTCAATGAACGATTTTCTGCTCTTCCTTCAGGACAATCCCGTTTACCTTGGGGCTGAGCAACGTCTCTATCCTTCTGTCTATTTTCTCTTGCTTGCTTTCCCTCTCGCACACAGACTTTGTCTGTTTATGGTTTCCATTTTATATATGTTCCCATTTTTATGTTTTTTCCCCCGTTCCACTCGAGTGGACTCACATTCTTCGGTCTTGCTCGCAGTCTGCTTTGTGTGTCATTTTCGGGTCTGAGTTTTATGTCTCTCTGGAATCTTTTGCATCTGCTCGTGGCTCACATTGTGAGCAAAATGTTGACGAAATGCATTTATTCTAATATGTATTCATGTGCAGTTGGCACTTGTTTGGCTTTAATTTAGCAAAAGTTTTGCCTTCAATTATACTTGCTCATCTTCTGCCTGGCCCCTGCCCGTGTCCGCAATTGTCTCTCGTTTTTTTTTTGGCACTTTACGGGGCACGGAGCAACCACCAGGGCACACAAAATATTCCCCCTAAATGTCTAAATTATTTGTGACACAAACAAAGTTCCTGCTGTTCGCGCTGCGACAGCTGCTGCTGCTGCTGCTGCTGAAAAATATGTGAAAGCGAATCCTCCAGCTGCCCCCAAATGTAGGCATCACTTTTTTTGTCAACTGCTTTCGCAGTGCAGTGCACTGCTGTGTGTGCCTGCAAGCAGTGCATATGCAAGAGTAATGGTGCGTAGATGAGAGTGCGCTCATCCTGCTAAAGGTATCCGGTTGTTGAGAGATTTATCCATTATGTTTGCTCTTAAGCAGCTGCAGCCGAGGTGCTTCCGCCTGCTGAGCTTAAGGTGTGAAGTTGTGGCCATTCCCCGTTTAGTTTTCAGCTGCCATAGTTGCGGTCTCTTCGGCTCTGGTGTGGCAATTGGCAAACATAACAATAAACAACCGGATGGAAATGGAATGGCATTTTGCGGTTAGTGGGTGGTGGGGCGTGGGGCGTCAACAGTCGCTGATTGGGCGACATTCTCCGGTGAAGGGTCGCCAGAGCGAGAGGCATGCTCGGATTGCCATTGTTGCCACTGTAATTTCAGATAAAGCACAAAACAGACGGCCGCACAGATGCAGTTACAATTGGTAGCCCCCCCCACAGCTGCGCCGTTAACTCCCTTCGTTCACCTTCAACTTGCTACCCCTACCAGCCACACCCTGCATTGCATGAGCTCGCATAATAAGTTCCTGTTTATCTCGACTCGGTTGGTGTGTTGTTTGCCCATCGTTGGCTGCAGTGCTCTTCGTCATACCTCTCCATACCACCCTCTCCTCTGACCTTTCCCCCATTTCCTTCTCTGTTGCTGAATGTGTATGTGTGTGTGTGGCTGCGCAGGTGTCATGTTTCCGTTTCCGCTGCAGCAGCAGCAGCCGCCAGTCAAGTGCAAATATTTTTGCATGCTGCACCTCGCGCACAGAAATAAAAACCGCAACAGACTCCTCCAGGCAGCCTCCTTTTCGGGGGGATGCGAGTGGGAGTGGGAGCGTCATTGGATTTTATTAGGTCTGACTGGGACTGAGAGTGGGACTGCTGCTGGCTTTTTGTTTGTGTTGTTTTAACGGCAGCAGCCGGCAGTAGTAGTGAAAATATTTACTTTCGTTCAGTTTCAAGTGTGCGGCGGCACTTCGATAAGTGCCAGTGAATGCAGTTTTTCCGAATGTTTACCTCGCTTTGCCACCCCAAAAGGGAACCCAAATCTCTTTGCTCGCCATAAAAGTGCAAATTAATAAGAAATACGAATATATTTCTGTACAGTATGTAGAAATTCTCCCTCCACAGGATTGGGCTGGTGTGGCTGACATGCCTTTGATAGCAAGCCCTTGGCTGGCTTAACAGGAGTCTGTCTGACTTAGTGCTGGGGATGGCTGGCATTAAAGGATATTGATCCGCAGCCACACTGGAAACTTTTGCTGCAAGCAACTGAGAATAAAGCACCAAAGGACTGGTTCCTGGAGCCGTACGCTTTGCTCTTGTTATTTTTCTTAGCCGAAATTAAGATTTTACACTCTTCCGGCAATAAATATCCAATGAGGAAACTTCTGCTCAGCATCGCAGTTTATATCAAACTAATAAAATATTCATTTATTCAGTTCACAATTTGTGCATATAATTCGCACGTAGCAAAAGGACTTCGAGCTGCCTCTCCCAACATTTTTCTCAGACTTTACTCCATTTTCTTTGTTTGCTTTTAATGGATTTAATCGAAGTATTTTCAATTAGTTTTTCTCTTCTTCTCTGTGTGCAGATTGAATTTAATTCCAAAAATGCCTTGCCACAAAAGCATTTCGGATAATTTCAATCAGTTTTCGCCGGGTCCTTCTTTAAGTGCCATGCAACATGCACTGAGAGCTTTCAAAATGGTTTATTGTGCAACGGATTATGTATTTTTGCTGCAATCTCCTCAGCCTGCAGCCAATCCCCTTCACTGTGACGTGCCACGCTTCAATCCCACTAAAAACAGATTTATCCACACACATGGAGAGCGACAGAAAACCAGAAAAGAAAGAGAAAACTGTTGGCGGGTAAGGAGACAAGACAGAATAGAAGAGCGGAAAGAAATGAGAATAAAAAGTTGGACTGCAAGTTTGCCATGCAGACAATGCTCCGACACTTATCTCATTTAATTTCGTATAATTTTTTCCTCCTTTGCAGAGCTTTGGCCATGTGTGTGCTACATTTGTGTACGGAGAAACGAAGGAAGTGCAACTTTGTGCCATGTTTCCCATCACATTGTTGCAGCTGTACGAGCATGTGGATGAATCTGAGCGGGCTTCAAATGGGGCTGGTGAGAGTGAGGGTCAGGCGTCCCAGCAAATGAGGTTTGTTAATGAAAAAACTTTTTTCGACTGCTGCTGGGGCTGGGACTGGGGCTGCAGTTGTTCCCTGCTTCTGCCTGTGCCTTGGCTTTGTTTTGTTTTGTTGCGCATTTTGGTGGTCTTAGACAATGGCCGGCAAATTGGTGCAGCTTCAGCTCCTGCACAGCCAAAGATAAAAGAACAAAGGGACGAAGCTTCGCGAAGGATGGCCGAGGCGACGTTAATGTGAGAGACGAAATGCACTTAACTCATTTACGGGCTGGGCCGCACCGAAAACGCTTAAATAAATTAAAATGTGCCAGGCCCTGACACTTAAATGCATATGCACAAGCAAGGACTCTTCTCCAAGACAAGAATCGAACGATTGATGCCCTGCAAAGGTCGCTTACTTCCGGAACTTCCGGAACTTACTGCTTGCACTACTTGCAAGTGCACTGCTTGCTGCTACATGGTTGAAATGGTTGCCTACTTATGAGGGCATGCCATGAGTGGGGATTGCGATTGAATGCATTCAGCACAGGGTATGAAGCATACAGCGCAGACTGACACTGTTGTGCTTGGAGTCGCTGCTTTCGCTTGAATGCCTGTGAAAGGCGCGAAAGTGTGCCAAGAAGCGAGTAACAAGAGACAGTCAAACAAAGTGCGGCAGAGGGACGGACGGACGCTGTTCGGTGGGGCAACGGGTAAGCAGGTCTCAAAGGACTTGCTGCACTTAAAACATTGCGCTCGCCATTAAAAATTATGTGCAACGACCACCGACTGCGACGGCGAACAAACAACAAATAATGAAATTATAATTAAGCCCAGAGTCAGGGCAGGAGCCGCACCAAAAGGAATGGTTGGATGAAGCCGGGCAGCCGGCAAAAAGCAAAATGAGACCATCAAATGCACAAAATGAAGCGACCACAAAATGCAGACAACGAATTCAATTACCTTCTCAAGTCTGTCCAGCGAAGTGTGGGCGTGGCATAATGAAGAAATTATGAAGTGCATTAAGACCCAGCAACAAACAGAGCCACGAACGCGAACGAGGAGAAGCCGCACAAAGGCAACATGAATACGCTGATTGGGCTGCCCTAAAGGACAGATACTGGACTGAGGACAGAGGGTGACGGAGCACAATAAAGTGCAGAGGGTTGAAGAAAAACAACACAACAACAGCAAGCAAGCAAGCATTGAGGGTGCGAGATGGAGCCAGGGAGCGAAGGAGCGAAGGAGCGAAGGAGCGTCCGACAAACACACACAAACATGCGAGTACGAGCTGGAGTATATTTTACTCAGAGCACTGACCACAGATTGGTAACCCAATTACCAATGCCAAAACGATCAATGGCTTCAATGGCTGCCTGGGTGTGCCTGCCGCAACTTGCTGTGTAATTATTTGAAATGCCTTCATGCCGCATCGTCCTTGACTTTGGTGGAGTGGCAAGCGGCATGGCAAACTAAATCAAACTGTGCAAAAAACCCACAAGCAACCCAAGCTCAATTAAGTGGTTCCGCACAGCACATGAATTGCTGTTGCTAAAGGGCCAGATGGCTGAATATTTATAAATTGGGAACATTAATAAGCGAGCAACCTAAAGTCAATTAATGTCGCAGAGCGTGGGAATCCGTGTTGATAAATGGCACCCAATTCACATATTGAAAAGACATCGAATGAGACTCTTAATTGGGGGATAAAGGAGCACTCCAAGCACAAGGAAGCGTAGAGAGTAAGTGAATAATTATTAGAAGAGAAAACGAAGCGGAGCTGGAACACAAGAGCCACTCGTGCATCCATAAATACTCTGTGCCCGGAGCCGGGACTTTGGGCAAAAACTGTTGTCCCCCGCTGTGCACATATCAGCAGCAAAAAAACAACAACAGGGCATAAAAAGCAGAGCCGTATGGGTTTTAAACTCAATTAAAGTTGAAGTTGAAGCTGAAGCTGAAGTCCTCAAACTACAAATTTAAATGGCGTGCCATTTGCTCACACAAGCTCCAATTGGGATGGGGATTGAAGAGCCACACGGCTGCTGTTGCTGTTTGCTGGTTGGTGGCTTTTGGGTTCGTGGTGTTCGGTTTTTGCAGGCAGCCAACTTGTCATTCATCAAACTTTTTCAATAAAACTTTTACGCCGCTTCTCATCGCTGGCCAAGCTGCAAATCCGTCGCTCATTTCGAGAGCCCAAAAAAGAGCTTTTCCCCGCGATCTGCCCAGAGATAGAGAGCCATTGGGGCCACAGTTTGAGTCAAGTTGGTGGAGTGGAATGCAAAAGTTTGTGCTTCGTAGGAGCGTAGGTCTTCGATTTCCTTGTTGCAGAGTTCCTTGTTGTCAACAGCTTCCCATGGCCATGCCCCCTGCAGCTCTGTTTGAAGCTCTGACAAACAAATATTATAGCCGTGGTATTGTGTTCCATATCGATTTCCTCTTTGGCTTCCCTTTTGCATTCAATTTGCAGGATGGGCTCATGCAACTTTTATGTTGAGCTCATCATTTTGCAAAATGCTTCAAGGGGTATTGATAGATGCCGAGATAGATGGAAGGAGGCAAACAAATTGACGAAAGAATCGGCTTGAAGGACGCGAACAGAGCACATAGAGGGAGAGGAAGAGGGAGAGGGAGAGGGAGAGGGAGGAGGAGGCTCATCAATTTCCATAATTAGAGCACACACACTCAAAAGGCCAAAGCGAAGGCCTGTCCAAGTGCCGCGAGGCAAGCGAAAATCAAATTAAATTGATAGCAACACCAGGGAGCGCTCACTCCCACCTCTTGGACGGCCTGCAAAATGTTAGGAATGTCCAATCATTGCTGCTGCTGCTGCTGCCGCAAAAATGGCAGTTTTCTCATGCATAAATTGAGGCAAGCGACAGCAACAGCCGCGAAGCCACAAGCGCGTATTTCGCGAGCCAGTCAGTCCAGTCCAGTCAGGCAACAAGAACAAATAGCTAAAGCGGCTGGCAGAGACATGTGTTGGGCCAACAAAAACTGAAAGCGGTTAGCTGGCTGGCATGAGGTTAGTCGCGGCAATGGGCAGCACTAAGCGTGGGGGGTTAGGAGGCATTTGCCGCTTACGCTTGGAGAGGCAGCGCCAGGCCAGCACAAGAGTTGCCATCGCTACACCAAAAAATAAAGATCGAAAAAGAAAAACAAAAATTATAGCAATAAATGTAGAGAGAGAAGGGTTCAGGGCAGAGGGGATAAGTGTCTGAGTGAGTCTCTGGTGGGTCAATCAGTGATCAGCTGCCGCAGAGATAATTCAAGCGGACAGACGGACTGTGGCTGTGGCTGGGGCTGGGGCTGGGTTCTCCACCTTCTCCACCTTGCTTACCAGTTTGCGTTGTGCTGCCTTGGAAGAGGTTGCGCAGATAGCCGATGAGGCGTCGATGGAGCGGCCGATGGCGATGCCGCGACGACTTGCGCACCGAGGAGGAGGACTCCTGGCCACCGCCACCCTGCTCCACATCGTCGGTATCCAGCGGTGTCGCTGTTGCGCCCACCTCCCTGCCACACTGGCTGGCATCCACAATTATCTCAATGCTGCGCTGTGTGCTGGACTTCTTCAGCTGCCCGAGTGCGGTTATCGCTGTGCTGCTGCTGCTGCCGCCTGCACCGCCTGCACCGCCACCTGTTGCTCCACCGGCACTTGTCGCAATGGTGCCAATAAGCGCATCCGTGGCACTCGATCCGGTGCCAGCTATGCTGCTGACTAGCTGCTGTTGTTGATGCTGCTGCTGCTGCTGCTGCTGCTGCTGCTGTTGCTGGGTGATGCGACCCGCGAGCATCTGATGATGTGCGGCTGTTGGGGGCAGCTCATTGACGGTGCCATTGCTGTGGCTTCCTCGATAGATGAGCTCCGTTTCGTTGGTCACCTGGCGCAGGGCGTGCAGTCCAGTGTGCGAGGCGCTGCTTGCCATGCCCGAGGCACTGGCTGCACCACCAGCCCCGCTGCCCCCGCTGCCCCCGCTGCCATTCAGACCCGTGTAGTAGGCGCTGTTGGGGCGTTGGGTGTGCTGTATCTGTGGCCCAGCCATGATGATGCTGGCTCCCTGGATCAGGCTGCTTCCCTGCTGCTCTGCTGCTCGCTCTCGTGCTGCTCTCTAGTCGTGGACTGGGCTCTGGTCTGGCTGGTAGTGGCTGTTGTTTAGTAGTTTTAATTGCATTCTGGCCTGCATTCACATGGTTGCAGCTATCGGGGTTAGGCTGAGGCGTGGGCCTCTTGGGGCATGTGGTGGGGGGGTTAAGCGTTAGCCGGCCTTGAGGCGCCGCGCACAGTCTCTCGGCATCTGCGAGAAGCGAGTAAACAAAGACAAGAAACAGAACAGAAACCAATAAAACGACTGGCAATCACCGTACATACCTCTACACACCTCTACATACATAAATACATAAATATGTGCATGCATTTATGTAAATGTATTTTTGTTTTTGTTTTTGTTTGTAATTTATGGAAATTCTAGTGCCAGCAGCGTTGCATTTTGGTGCGTTAGTGTGTGTGTGCGTGTGTGTGTGTGTGTGTGTGTGTGTGTGCAGCTCTCATGCAAATCAAGATCAAACTCTCCAAGGATGCGTCTGTCAAGTCGCTCGAGGCAATGAGTTTACAATTAAGCGGATTGACTGCCACCCACTTGCATCATTTTACAACAACCAACATCTCATTTAAGGCTCGATTCTGTGCCACTTTCGGCATAGAACACATTTTCGTAGCATTAAGTTGGCTTTTGTGTTGTGTTCCGGCTGCCGTCAGCTGTCGAGACGACTGCTTGGCTCAGTTTTGGGGCTAACCTCACACTGAACAGTTCAGGAAAATCGAACAAAATTTGCCTAAATTTCGTTGGCTTTTATTTTGGCTTCTGCTTGTGTCAAACTTGTTGCACTCGCCAGCTAGACCATGGCGGACGACAGGCCCTTCAATCCCTTCTACATTGGACCGCACCCGAGCAGAGCTTGCGCCATACCCGAGATACCCGGCCAGCAGTGCAATCCCGCCTGCGGCAGCGCACCCTCTGCCGAAGCGCCCAACGTCAGCAGCAGCGACCAGTTGGCGGCCCACCCAACAGCACAGGAAGCAGCAGCAGCAGCAGCAGCAGAAGCAGAAGCCGCAGCAGCTACAGTCTCCATAGGCACAGCAGCACCTGGACAATCGCTGAGCGCCACTGCCGCAGCACCGATCTTGGTCACTGGTGGAGCCAAGCCGGTTGCAGTGCTTGTGGCCAGAACCTTGTTGGTGCAGCCGGGAACAAGCGACCCAGCAAACTGCCAGACGTATCCCTGCATGGAGGCAAAACATAATTAGCAGAGCAAAAGCCCAACAAATTCCACCAGAGTTAGCCCCGAAACAGAGACAATAAAACGGCACAGCAACAACCCCAATGCTAGGTGTTTTATTTGTGAGTTTTAGTGTAGGACTTTGCAGGGCACAAAGTGTAAGTGGCAGCAAAAACCAAGTGCCCTGTGCCCTGTGCGCCATTTCCATCAGGCAACAATGATGGGCTTGGTATTTGCATCATTTATGCTTCGATGGCAACTGCAAATGGCTCGGCGGGAGCAGCAGCAGCAGCAGCAGGAGAGGCTGTCAGAGAGTCTATCGAGAACGTATTGCTGTTGCAAATTCAATGAAGTAAAAATGTATTATTTATTGATGGACTTATGCAGAAGCATCAACGGCAGCAGTGGCCCAGCTTATGGCTGCATCCTTGCCGCACGGAGCAACGATGTGCGACTGCTTGTCGATGTATGCACTGCTCCTGGTGCTTGGTTTGTGCACGAAATGATTTATGCATTTTGCCCACCTTGCTGTCGACATTTCCACGCACAACAAAACCCACAACAGCAGTCCTTAATGTGACTTTCTTGTTACAAAAATGGTGCTAAGATCTTTATTCATTGGCAGAAAGCACTTGTCAATACACATGAATCGTGTGATTAACAAATGAGCATCAGAGCGTGCTTTATTTATCAAAATACAAAATACAAAATTCGAGGGAGAAATTACTTTGCGAATCTAGTTGGCTTTTGCTTCATTGTCGAATCAGTCTCGAACGAAACAGTTTCCGAAGCGCTCCCCCAACGAAAATGAATCAGAACAAAAAAGAACTGCAGTCGCTGGGCTCCGACCAGGGCCGAGCCAGGGGAATGGGCTCATGCCCGCTGATGCCCGCACCGATGGACCTTGCAGCAAAGATGTCGCTGCCGCCAGTGTCAGAGCAGGCACTGCTCAAGCAATTGCAGACCTTTGGCCAGCCGCTGCCAGTCGCCTCCACAGTGGATGCGCCCATAGATATGGAAACGTCAGCAGTTGATGACCAGCAGCCAGAACCGATGGATTGGATGTAGAGTCCGTCCGCCCACACAGTACACTGTCCCACACTGAACGCAATTGCCGCCGCTGTAGCCGCTCTGGACACGCACAAGACAAGACTAAAATATCCCAGATTGATCTGAGATCAGCGCTGTATCCTTTCGAAGCATCCTCCCAATCGAATCGATGAGTCTTGGTTGACGGATCTCTGGGCCTCTACGCCGCCAGCAGCGGCCAGGATGCAATGTACAGCATGGGGCTTATGGCAGCAATAAACACTACCGATACAGCTGGGGAATCTAAGCTTCAAATGAGATTGAAATAAATGACACTTCACAGAGAGCAGCGCCCTGAATGGAGCCCCAATCCAGGTCTCGGGCATTGGAGTGCAGGGCAAACACTTCGATGGGCTGTGGGCAAAATCAGCGATGTGAACGGAGGCAAATGAAGTGCAAGCATGGGTTCGAGCATCGAGTTGCGAGTACCAGCCGAAGGAGTAGACGCACTTGAGCGTGGGAGACCGGGAGACTCCGTGTGCTCTGAGTGTGCCATGAAACGCTTAAGGAAATGAAGCTGAACTTTATTATAACAATACACAATAATCCACAGCCACAGCTCCCCCTGGCTCCCCCCTGGCTCCTCTCCTCCTATTTCCTACTTCGTCTTTGCATTTTCCTTCTGTTTCCTCCTTTTGATGATCCGGATGAAGGTAAGCGGAGAGCGGAAAGTGGAAAGCGGATATGCCGCTCCAAAAGGTAAACTGCAGCTCGATATTCGAGTGGTAAATGGATCGACCAAGGGCATGCCCTGTGCCTGTCTGTTGCTGAGCCTGGATGGCATGTGCCACTCCTAATTGACTGCACACGGGAGCATTTCTCTCAGTGCATTCACGTACATTGTACGCCAAGACGCTTAACTAAACAAGCAGAAAGCGTGCAGTCAGGCGACAGGGCTGCTGCGGTTGCAGCGTCACGAAATCCCAGCAAAATGTCAAGTGCAAGCAGCAGCAGCAGCAGCAGCAGCAGCAGTGGTATACTTGAAGCTGCTTCGCCTGCCGCTTACTTTCTGCATTCCAGATAGCCTGGCCAAGGACGACTCGCGGCAGCCAGTCGACTTCCTGGTCTGAGCTTCAGGTTGGAGCCGAACGCACCGCCGCGTTCGCCGTAAGGAAGGTAGAAAGGAAATTGCATTTTTGTTGACATTATTTTACAAATATCCGGACAGCACACACACACACACACACACACACACACAACAATGGACTTTGGCGGAGTCACTTTGGTCAGTGCCACTCTCGAGTCAAGTCGAGGCGAGCAGAGTCAAGGATGACGATGTTGGAACGCAGATATTTTGCACACACTAAACGCCCACAGGGAACCAGGCACTGCTGTCGAGAGCAGAGTTCGTGGAGTCCAAGGAGAACTGGCAGCATACGCAAGTATCCGCAAGCAACCGCAAGATCGTAGATCCCGCGGAGAATGAGGTGTGTACGAGTCGCTGCGTGTGTGGTGAGTTTAGCCGGGACTCCCACCCAACATGGACACAAAATCACACGGTGGGCTGAACATATTCTGGAGAGTGGAGAGTGCAGAGTGCAGAGTGGAGAGTGGAGTGGAGAGGCAAGAAAAAACTGACAAAAGACTGACAAAAGGCAGGCAAGTATGAGCAGGTGGCACTAGTCTCAATCCAAGGCAGCTGCCATGTGTGAAGTCTCTCAATAAAAGCCAAAACTTCATTGAAGAAACTCGCGAATATTTCAAAATAATTGCCAAAAAAAACTACCATTTGGTTTTCCGCAGTTCTTCTCGCTTTTTTTGCCAGCTGCAACTCGTTAAACTGGTTGTTCCATGTTTATTTTGCTGTCTACCACCGTTTATGCTCCTGTCAGTGGGCATCCTGTGGTCGATCCCGTTTGTTGCCTCTAAATTTGTTCATTTCAAGAGTGGATCTAACGCCCTCTCTCTCTGTCTCTCTGTCTCTCTCTTGTCTGAGCAGCTGCAGGACGAATTGCGGCTGTGGGATGGTTGGGTTCGAGTGCCTCGAGCTGCTGCTGAATGCAGAAACCAATCAAATTTCCATGTTTGATTTATTTGCTGCTCTTTCGCTCTCTTTTGCTGATTTTTTATTTATTTTGTGTGTGAATGTGAATGTGAATGTGATTGTACTCCACCTCTTTGGCAGTGCTTTGGTTTTTGGGAACCTCAAAATGAACTGACAAAAACACACCACCCAAACACACACACACACAGCAGAAGTACCGTCAGACAGTCAGTCAGTCCGTGGCTTTGTTGTGAAACAAATGCCCAAAGGCGCTTCTGCTAAGGTTAGCTAATGAATGGCAAATGCAAGTTTTTGGAAGCTCTACGCAGCTGGGGCCAAGTGTGTGCACCCAAATATGAGCGGAGAGCTTCCTTTTTGTGTGCACTTTTTGTTCAACATTTGCATTACCGGTTGTAAAGGGTATCCCTTAATTGAATCTCTCGCTTGGCTCGGCTGCCGGGCGCACATTTTTGTGCGTTTTTAAGCCCTACAAATCCTTTGACTTTCGCCGGATCAACGCAGGCAAACAAAATGCAATTTTGGGGGCTGCGACAGAGTCATGTCTCCGTTTTTTTGTTGCGACTTTGTTTTCCTGCTGGCTGGTAATCCGTTTGATGGGGTTAACTTTTGGCAGTCAGTGTGTGTGTGTGTGTGTGTGTGTGTGTGTGTGTGGCAGGCGTCAAAGTGCAAAATACGATGATGCTCAAGCATCACCACCACAACCCGTACAGAACATATGTACATTGTACGGGATGCTCGTGTGCGTGCTGCAATCTGTGGCACACTTTCGCAAAACACTTCGCTCTTGCTCTGCGAATGATTTGTGGCTGTTCTGGCTGTTGTGGCTGCTGATTGTTGGTTGTTTGGAGTGCGCAGAACAACGGCAGCTGGCAACACAAGCCACCGAGTCGGCCAGCTGTTTTCATAGCCACAACGCAGCCAAAAAAGGGGTAACTCAAGCCTAAGATATGCCCGAGAGTTTGTGGATTACCCATCCAAATGTTCACTTTACAATTGTCTCTATTCACACCTCCTGCCTTTGCCTTGCCTTTGGACTGTTCAAGAGTATCCCCCAGTCGTTTCGCACTCCATGGCTGCAGTCCACACGGGTTTTTGGCTGCGTATTTGCCACAGCGAGAAAGCAGAAAACCCCCGAACTTGCCACCTGTCCACCTGTCCACCTGTGCTCTGTATCCGCAGCTTCTCGCCTGGCCCCTGTATTTATGGGCTTGCACGTGTTTCCTGCTGTGGCAGTGTCGCCAACGCCATCATCATCATTGTGGCAACTTGAGAATCTTTTGGAGAACAACAACAACAACAACAACAACAACAACAACAACAGCAACAGCAACAACAAAAACCACACACACACCTGCAAATAGGGGAAAAGTAGAGAGAAAGAGAACTGAAAATTCTGCCCAAGTGGGGTTTCATTTTCAAGTGTTTGCTTTCACATGTGTGTGTGTGGTGTGTGTGTGGTGTGTGTGCGTGTGTGTGTTTTGTGAAACGTTTATTTTCCAGCTGTTGCTGGCGCTGCCGTGACATGGACACCCGCAAAATGGTCTGTCAACGACAAGGATGGCCCCCAGCACAGAAACAGATCGAAGCAGCCAGAGGAAGGCACTCTAAAGGGTGCCTCAATTTCAATTGTTTCGTTCGAGAGATTTCACATTGATTGGAATACGATTTGGCAAGAATAACGACACAGGAGACAGTGCTCTTAAGAACGGGGAAACGAAAGAGCACAGACTGAAAGACTCGCTTCCATTCCATGAGCAATCGATAACCTATTGCATGCCACCAAAAATCAATTAATTTCCCAGGCATTAACGGGTGGCAATCAGTCATGGACAGCAAAAACAAGGAGGACCCATTGAAGCCCGCCTTGCTCTTTTTGTCAACTTGCAAATGGGAAAATTCGGGTCACAAAGTATGTGGGAATCCCATGGGGGAGCAAGGCCTTTGCCTAGCTTCAGGGCACATTACCCCACTCTCCCGCACTTCGACTTATCGGTCTCTTGCCACCTGAGTG